ATGTATAGTATATTTTACTATTATTGTTATTATAATTTAACACCTAATTTATGACCTTTTTTTACAAGTTTGTTAAATTTCAATTTGCATTCTTATAGTTTTGTATTTAGAGGAAATTACATGGTTCCAAGTCTTTAAATATTGAAATTCAAAAATCATGGACCAAATTTTATTATTCAAAAATCAGGTGCTATATAAACCCTAACCCTAATTTTTTTTCTCTCTTAACTCCCTCTCTCTCTCTCTCGTGTTCCTCTCCCCTATCTCTGAAATCTACCGCAGTCGAACTCTCCCCAAATCTATTCTAACCCTAAATCGAGAATCCCCAAGGTGGTGGTGGTGGCGTGCAGGCGATGGTGGCGATCGCGAAGGTGGTGGTCGTGCATGCGTGTTTGAGTTGACTTTGGGTTGGTGGTTTGCAGATGGCGATTGCAGGTGGTGGTCGTGCAGATGGCGATTAGCGCTGCGTAGTGCCCTACGGTGTGTGGGGTGGTGGTTTGCAGATGGCGATTGCAAGTGGTGGTCGTGCAGATGGCGATTGGGGCTACGTAGCGCCCTATGGTGTATGGGTTAGTGGTTTGCAGATGGCGATTGCAGGGGTGGTCGTACAGATGGCGATTGGTGCTACGCAACGCCCTACGGTGGTCGAATGCCCAAATCAAACAAACCCTAAATGAGTTGGGTAGTAGCGATTGGTGTCGTCGGTAGCAGCGGCATTTGGTGGTTGTGTTGTTTTCAGTTTGTAAATGGTTGTGTTTTATTGGTGGTTGTCGTGGTGAGGGGTGGTGGTGTTGGTAGTTGTTCAGTGGTGGTGGCTGTGGCGGTGATGACGGTGTGTCTCTCTGTTGTTGCGATCTGGTGGCGGGGTTATCCGTGACCAAGAATTTAACCGTGACCTAAAAAATTTAACATATATGACTGAAAAATAATTTGTGACCAACAAATTTGAATATATGTGACCAAAGAAATTAACTGTGACTTGTAAATTTTTGAATTTGTGACCTCGAAATAAATTGTGACTTATAATTATGTATCTGTGACTAATAATTGTGTAAGTGTGGCCTAATTAATAAATATTTTTAATTAATTATCTAATATCTGAATTTTGAATTTTTAAACTATAAATTTTGAGTTTTGAATTGGTGTAAACTATACACGTGATTTATGATTTTTTTTCCTTTGTATTTATATGCTTTTCTCGTAATTTAATCGATTGGACCGTAATCAATTGGCCTGTAACACCGCGGCCCAACTAGAGAGAAAATTGGGCTGGATAAATCTTACGTCATACAAGACGCTAAGAGCCTAAGAGTCGTTGATTACGGTACCTAAAACAACGGGCCCCACACATCCACTTTAAACCAAATCCTCACTCCCAAACTATTAAATTCCTTTCCACAGCCCTAATCCTTAGCATTACAATTGCACCAGCGGTGTACGTTATCAGTTTTACACGATGGCTACAGACTCCGTCAATTCATGGCCGCCGCCACGGTCGAAGCTCTACAATCTCGACATCATGGTCGTCAACGCAAAGCATTTAAAGAATGTCAACTGGCGTCAGGGTGAACTCAGGCCTTACGTCGTCTTATGGGTCGACCCGGATCGTCGCCTCTCCACCAAGCCTGATGATTCCGGGACGACCCGACCCGTATGGAACGAGCGGTTTGTTTTGCCACTTTCTCTTTCTCCCAGAGATTCTCTGCTCACCTTGGAGGTCTTCCATTCCCGACCCTCGGAGGCTTCGAAACCCTTGGTTGGCACCCTCCGAATCGAACTCAGGGATCTCCTGGTTGACACAAACGATTCAGCTACTCGAGTCAAAACTTTCGAGCTTAAACGCCCCTCGGGTAGGCCCCATGGGAAGATCCGATTGAAACTATCTCTCCGTGAACGCCCCAATGAAATTTACCAAACTGCCCATCCGTCCAGCTATATGTACTCTACTGCACCACCCCCTCCTTTACCGACTTACCCCGGACGGGACTACAGAGGATACTCTCCTCCTTATTCTAGTCTTCCGGCGGTTCACCCACCTCCGGCTATGCCATCTCCGCCACCACCTCCTGCACCTCAATCCTTCTCGTACACCACATACTCTGATCCCTACTCAGGCTACTATCCTGGTTACTACACGCAAGTACCGCCACCGCCTACTCATCGGCAATTTCTAGAGCGGCAGTCTAACTATGGCGGACCAGGGCCGAGCGCCCCTGTGGATTATGCGCCCTATGATCACCAGAAACGAGGGAGCGGAAAGTTCGGAATGGGAATGGGTACGGGATTGGCAGTTGGAGCTGTAGCTGGAGCACTTGGAGGGCTGGCACTGGAAGAAGGGATAAAGTACGAGGATGAAAAGATAACAGAGAGGGTTGAGAATAACTTGGCTTCAAGAGATGACTATTACAGTGACTATCGCACTGATTATTGACGTAAGATTTAATTAATGGCTAATCAGATTGTGCTAGTCTATAATTTCGTGATAAAATATGTATATATCGGGTGCTGCGTTTCAGCAGGTTGTGTTCCTTGTATTGGATCTATTGATGAGTTTAAGTGGAGTTTCTTCAGCGAGAAATTGTTTGCATATACGATGAATGAATTCTATGCTGCAGAAATATAAAATTGGTTTATAAATTTCTTGCCTTCTATTATAATGTATTTAAACTATTGTTTTTAAGTTTATATGCTTTATGAGTACGAGGAAGGAAGGAAAACCAAGGAACTGCAAAGTTGTTAAAATTTTTGTTTTTGCGTTATAGGTTTTGTGGATTGTAGGGTGCCTTGATTAAAGTAAGCTAATTGACTTGCTTTTACTAGAGTACCTTTAACATAGTGAAAGTTCAAGCAATTAGAGTTTTGTCTTGAGGAAAGAATATGGTTTTAGAATAATTACATCTCCTCGATGAATTATATTTTCATTAATGTTATGCTACTACTCTTTTTCATTTTGGAGTTTATAGCATGCCTTATGAGGTTGCAAGGTGTTATCTTCTGAAGTAGTTCAACTCTTTAGATGCTTGGATAAAGCCTGTTTCTTAGTGCCTGGCTAAGCTTATCAGATTACTAGTTAATATCAATAACTCGCATTAAAAGCCATAAGGTCGTGCATTGAAATTTAGTAATATAATCTACTGATACTCTTAGTAGACAGGAGTTATTGTGATTTGTGACTTCTTTCCATGTGGACATGTTGATACGGGTTTCTTAGCTATGCTATTAAAAGCTTGGATTAATCTATTTGTACATTCCTCCTTGACATATTGGATGACACCCCCTATGTGCAGGAAATATGGCGATTAATTGAAAAGAATGTTGTTAAAATCAATGTACAAGCAGCTGCCAATTCACACAAAGTTATCCATGATGTCAAACTTTATGTACACCAAGCAAAACTCTAAAAGCTTTTAAAACAATGGCTAACCTACTAGCTATTGTGAATATAAATGAAAACCACGAGGGCTATTTCTTTGACAGTGTAGAATTTTTCTTTTCTAAATTTTACTATATTTATAAAACAATTTTCAATGGCTAATCTACTATCCATGATGTTTTTTATTCCACGACTACTACTTAACCACATAGAAAGTTCAATATTCAGCTGTCATTGATTACTAAAGAAAGCGTGGTTTTAAATGCTCGTTTTAAAGGTGAGAAATACCCAACTACTTGTAACATGTATTACCTCCGAAATTGCAATTGATGGTGTAAAAATTACCTCAATTTGTTTTTATTTCCATTTCTTTTTCTAATTGTTTGGTTTGCAAATCACATTCTTGTTGAATAACTTAAAGAGAAAAAAAAGAAAGAACAGATTCTTGCTGATTCATTGTAATAAAAAGAACATTGTGCTCTCTTGTTCTTCCTTCCGTTTTCCTAGTCCTTTTCTTTTGCTTCAATGCATGAAAAACATTAGTATTACTTATACTACCAATAGAAATTTTGTTAGATGGGAATGGTGCCGTTTTTGGCTCATTGTTTTTATTGTAAAAACTTAGCTGCATTTTCTAACTTTTGCATTTAACTTATATGTTTTATAGTTTACCTTTGGGCAAACCCCAACATAAACTCGATAGTTTTAAGTTATTTTTAACAAATGTACCCCCTACTTTTGTTATGAACACTTGCAGTTTCATTACAAAAATTGCATCTCCCATTCATTGACTCATCATATTTGGTCATGCATTCTGAAGAGGTTTAGATTGACATCCATTTAAAAGGGTGCTACTAGTAGTAGTTGATGAATTCATAGCTTCCTAATATTTGAATACTTGAAAATGGAGATGAAATTTTTTGAAGAAGGTGAAACAAATGGCAACGCTGCACCCAAGCAAAGTTAAAGAAGGTCTTTTGCAGGTCGTTTGGTTGGGTCGGTGCCTGTAAGGTAAAGTGATTGATTTTTTTACTTTTGCAATTTTTCTTTGCAATTACATGCTTGGGATCTTGTTTATAAGCTTCAAAGCGTGAGTGGCTCCCGGTTTCTATGCATAAAAATTACGAGTAGGGCCTTTTTTTTTTTTTAAATACTCAAAAAATGTCTTGACTGGTCAAAAAGTGTTTTTAAGCTTTGTAAATGCCCTGATCAGGGTTTCTGCTCTCTTCCACAAGTTTCGTTCTTACTTCGAGCAACTTTAATCTTTTCCTCCTCCAACCAGTCCAATTTCCTCCTTCAGCCAGCTGTTTCTATGTGATGTTTCTCCCTCGGACATTTTAATTTCTCCAGATTTTTTTTAGTTTCTCCCATTTTAATTTTATTTCCCAGGTTGCTGACGAGTTAGTGAAAGTCATGTCTTCTTTCATAATATGGGTTCTCCTAATATTCATGATTTGGACGTGAATGAGTCGAACTTCTTATCCCGTTTGTTTCTTACTACCCAAGGCTTCTATGCGTTTTGCAATTGAAATCTCTACAGGAGTAGATAGCTAAATTAATGTGGAGGGAATACGACACGAGCATGTGAAGTGCACGTTGGGCACTCTGGCCTCAGCAGCCTGTAGGTGCTTCCAGATTAACATGGAAGTTTGGCAATTTTGAATTCACTTAATTAATTCAACTTGAGAGTTAAGAGATATTTTACTTTTGGTTTGGAGATCTAATGGAATTTATTTAGGCTGTTCACTTTTGCATGTCCAACGGTCATATGATAACTGTCACTCTGAACTCAAGGCTTGCACGTTTTAATCCATTCTATTCCTGGCAATGAGCAAGAGAAGCACTCAAGGCTGTCTCTCAATAATGTGCTTTTTCTTTTCTCCCGGAAATGGACAGTTACTGAGTGATTAATGTGATGTGCATCAGTAGGGAGGAGATCATACAGCTGTGTAGCTTATTATCATCCAAACCCAAAATCTTCAAATGCAATGCCTTGTTAACCTCCTCCAGGAATTATTAATTGCATGCATCGAAGTGTGGAACCATTTGTCTGAGTATACAAATCCCTAATTCTCTTATTCACTTAAACTGCTTATCAGTACATTAATAATCAGTATGTATGTACTCTAGTAACCTCTGAAGGTTGCCTGCTGCCTCTGTTTTGTGACTACAATGGCAGACCCATCGAACTAGCCAACCAATTTGAGTTTAAGAGAAGAGTTTGAGCTCGACTGTTGTAGAGCAGAACTGTGGTTTTCTAAAAAGATTGGTATGTTATGTTGGCTTAAGATCTTTCATATCTCGGCACAGAGGAATTCATGACATTTTTGGGGTTGATTGAGGTCATAAATACTGCGATCTTGTTAAATCAGACTGAATAGAAAGCTAGGTCAGCTGATGTGCGATTGAGGCATTGGCGTTTGAATGTTAGGTATTGAAGTATTGGTGCTATTACACTTTTGCTAGATATAGTATTAATTTTGCGAGTTTTTTGAAATGTCGACTTTGAGCGTTTATGAGCGAATTGATTTTAAGTGGCTTTAGTAGTGGTTTTTAAAACTTTCCAACTTATGCGAGTTAATTCTTCTAAAAGGATAAAATTATGTATATATCGCTTAGAAGAATTTCTTTTATATGAATTTTTTTACTCACAAGTGACATTTTACTTGTAGATATTTTTTTTTACGTTTACGTTTAATATTTAATTTAAAAAATTAATTAAAATTTTAAGTTAATATTTTTTATTTATAAGTAAGTTTTACAATTAAAAGTAAATTTTATACTTTTGAATAACTTTAACCGAATTTTTTACTTATAAAAAACTTTTTTATATTTTATAAGTGAATTTTGTCTTATTGGTAGTATTTTTAGTTTATAATAACATTTTTCTTACATAAAAGTGATTTTTTACTTATAATGTAATTTTTCTTATCTTACAGGTAATATTTTACTTATTAAGTATTTTTTAAATGATGAATAATTTTGTAGTTAATATATTTTTATTTACAATTTAGTTTTGAACAAATACATTGGTCGTAAATAATTATTTTATAAAGAGTAAAATTAGATGAGAATATGAGAAACGATCAAAATTCGCCTATTTCTTGAGTTGAGAAAATCAATCATAATTTTTTAAATGATGAATACATTTAGTGGTGACTGGGCTCGACCCATCTACCCACGAGCTCGGCTAGTCAAAGTGACGAATTTGACGAGCCGAGCTCGAGATGGCTCATGCTCAAGGGTCGAGCTCGGCTCAACACATTAGCTCGTGAGCTCACGAGTCGAGCCGAGCCCATGAGCTCATGGTTTTTTTTCTTTTTTTTTTTTTTAGTTTTTTCTTAAGATTTTTTACTCGTGGGCACCGTTTGGGAGCTTGACGAGCCTGGAAACCCTACGATGACGAGCTCGAGCCGTCCACGAGTCGACGAGCCGTTCTGCCCATCTGCCACTACTAAATACATTGGTTCTAGCAAACACGTTTTTTTAACACCTCGTGAATATTACTATCCAAAATCAATCAAAATGAGTGAAGGAAAAAAAAATAAAATCCTAGCAGGCCCTAAGAATCTATCAATCATGTTGCATTTGATTATGGGTGAATAAGGGTTTAATTCAGATGTACTTGCTGAAATTCATCCATTGCTGGACACATTCATTTTTTTGACCAGAACGACCATTAAGCTTTGTCGTTATTCATTATTTTATGTAAATCAATTGATAAGACATCTTCGATTTAACTACTCATCTTATTTTTAGATGTCTAATATTAGTTAGGGCCTGCTTGCTTGGGAGCTTTTGAGTATTGTTAGAGTTTGTTTAATATAAAATTTTCAACCATACATTTTTCAATAAAATAATATTTTTCATCACATCAATAACTTTTCATTCTTTTTCAACAACAAATTTTTCATCAATCTACTATTCTAAAACACATTCTTTCAAAATAATGTGGCTCAAACACACCCTTATTCCTCCCACTGTACCTGGAAACAATCCATGTACATTACTACAAGCACGTGTCCAACTAACTCTTGACACATATCATTTTGTGACAA